CCTCCCCGTCCCGCGGTCTTCTGACCGACCACCGCTGCGCCTCACTCACTGACGTCCCGCGATCGACCCCGCTCACTTGGTTCGCTTGCCGGCCGACAGCTCCTCAGCCTCGGTCGAGCTTGACGCCAGCAACTTCCACCAGTGTGTTCGTCTCGGGAGGTTCGCCACCGATCGTACGATTAGCTTCGTCCCCCCGGATGGCGATTTCGAGCTGATGCGCTATCGCACGGTCGAGTCCATCCAGCTGCCCTTCCGCGTGCATACCCTGGTCAACGAGGTGGGCAAGACGCGTGTCGACTACAAGATCGTCATCCGTGCCACCTTCGGCTCGCGCCTGGCCGCTTCGGACGTGGTTCTCAACATCCCCACCCCCCCCAACACGGCCAAGGCCGCATGTCGTGTCAGCCCCGGTGGCGGAAAGGCCCGCTTCAAGGCCGGCGAGAACTGCATCGTCTGGAAGATCGGCCGCTTCCAGGGCCAGGCCGAGTACACCTTCACAGCCTCCGCCGACCTGACCGCCACCGTACGCCCCTCTCCTGGCATGCTGGGCCCCTTTCCCCTTCTTCCCCCTCCTGTGGCGTTCGAGGCACCACAATGCTAACCCCTCCCGCTGCGCACCCTCGCTTGCCCCCTCATTCCGTGCGCAGACCGCCGGCAAGACCGTGTGGTCCCGCCCGCCGGTTGTTGCCAAGTTCCAGGTGCCGCAATTCGCGGCCTCCGGTCTGCATGTCCGCTTCTTGCAGGTGAAGGAGCCGCAGCTCCTGTACGAGACCATCAAGTGGGTCCGGTACAACACTCGCGCCGGTGTTTGCGAGTACCGGATTTAGGGTGCTCCCCTGCCCTCCCTCCTCTTGGCCTTCCATCGTCCTTCTTCGCGCTTCGTGGCGCAGGAAGCATACTTCCCTCCCGTGCACCGCACAGGCATTGGCATGCGCCACTGGGGGCCCTGCATGCCCGCCAGGCGTGCACCTTGCCGCGGTCCTCCTCTCCCTCTCTTTCTCTCCTCCTCCCCCTTTGATTGGGGCATCGCCAGTCTAGATCCCCCCCGACACCACACTCTCCCCTCGCCCCTCCCCCCCGCCCCCCCCTCCTTCGGCACATGCATGCTCCCTCTCTTCCCCTGCACGACGAGAGGACGATAAACCGCCCCCCCCCCCCCTTCTCCGCTCCATTTCCTTCCTCGCACCCCACTGAAGCACATGCACAAACTCGGTGTTACTCTTGGGTGTTTTGTTTTACGGTGGATCATCCACGCAGAGACCATGCGAGTGGAGAAAGGGCAAGGGAGAATGAGGAACAACAGTAATGCGGCGAGAGGGAGGGGACACACACACACACACACACACATATTTGTACATGTGCGCATATGCTCACGGGCTATTATACAGGGGGCGGGTGCGCTTAGTTGGCCTCGGCACGGGCGACCAGGGCCGCAACGGCAGCGGAGCCGAGAACAATGAAGGTGTCGCCGCGGCCATCGGCGTCGGCGGCCAGGGCGCCCGGGGCGGCAGCCGTGGCATTGGTGGCCTCGGTGGCGCTGTCCGTCTGGACAGCAATCGGGGCGCTGTGGTCGACCGAGCTGCGGCGGGCAGCCTCCGCCACGGCAGCCGCACTCCCGGCATCCGCACCAACACCCTCCGACGTCTGCTCCAGATCCTCCGGGGCCGAGGAGGCGGTTGACGAGGAGCCGGTGCCGGTGGCCGCCGAGCCAGCCAGCTTGGCAGCATCCGGCCCGACAACGGCGATCGAAATGTTGGCGGCAACCAGGGAGGGCGCGTCCTGGGGGAGGGTATCGCGCAGGGCCAGCAGCGCATGAAGGACCAGCTCGTCGAGGGTCGCTGAGGAGGGGGAGGGGGGGGGGGCCGGTCCCGGGGGCCGGGGGAGATGGGGCGGTCAGCGGTGTGGAGATGGCCCGAGAGGCGGGGAGATGTGACAAAGCCCCGGGCCGGGGCAAACAAAGCAACAGGCAAACCAACATACCGGTCTTCATGGTGTCGCAGTGGCGCTCGAGATAAGTCCGAGCCGCCTGAGAGCGAGCACCAATGGCACCACCGAGGACCTCGGTTGACACGCCAGCCGGGCTGAACTCCAGCAGGTGGGGACCAGTCTCCTACGGGCCGGTTCGAGAGGTGAGTCTCCGGGCGTGGCGGCGAGCGCATGCATGTGGACATGAATGGATGGGTGTTGTGTGGTTGGGCGCATGTGTGAGATGCACGTACATCATGACCGGCAATCAGCATGCCAACACCATACGGGCGGCTACCATACATCTGGGTGTTGACCTGGGCCTCTGTGGGGAGGGAGGAGCACCGAAAGGGAGGAGCCAGGTTAGGGTAAGGCAGGGACGAGGGGGGGG